TTCTACATAAAGCAACCTAAAATTGTGGCCATGAAGATAAAAATTGCTAAGTTTTTTTTTTATCCACGTCCACGATGAAAATGTATACGCTGTGTAACATGCTATATTGCCAATGAAATAATGGGGGAAAAATTGACGAATTGTGCGGATTTTCATCCATCAAAATCTAACCTGACATGATAATATAACCAAACCTCTCCGATAATTGCAGAGACTGTAGATAAATTATATTAGTAAGACAAATCACGTGACCTATCGAAACCGCTAAAAGTGCTACACTTTACCTTTCACTTTGACCTAACCTAACCTAAAAAAGCTTTCACAGCGGTGGTAAACGATAATTGAACGACTCTCTGACCAAAGGATTAGAGGTAAAGAACTGCACCAGGTTAAAATAATCGGACTCGTATGATAAATTTACTAAACATTCAATTCAAACCTAACCTATCCAAATAAAACCTAGGCCTACCAAAATTTAACCTAGCTTTTTCTGACAACCTAACCTAACTTTTCTTACATGTAAGCTATTCCCGTTCCTATCAAAGGATTGAAGGCACAGAACCACACCAGCTGGAGTCAGAAGGAGTGGAAGGTGTAGGTCTAGAAGGGTCGGCGCGCGGCGCGGCAAGGCGGCAACATCAAAGAAAAGAGCTGCGTATCGGTCTCACATTAGCGATATTGTCACCCGCGTAAAGTACCCCCTACAAACCGACTGCCGCCAATAAGTAATCTTCGGCGTATCGTTCTGTCATAACAATAACTCCTCTGTGGAATGCAGCCTAGCATATTTCATGAATATGCACATAGCTGTTTCATAATTAGTTGTGCAAGCCTGACGAAATTTCAAACACGAAATAATATCTTTTGACGTATATAATGATTAGTACTGTTACAATTTTGAAAACTCAGTTTTGTACTTCGTATTTTTAATCTAGTTTTAAATTGATTTAATTTATTTAATGTATTATACTTAGTTGATTTGTTGACAGTCAAGTTCTGGGCCCAATTTTGTATGAGTAGTGGAATGGACTTTTCTTAAATGGATTTTGCTTTGATAGTAATTCCTAGTCATTTAATGTAAAATAGAAACAGTACCAGTTAAGGTCACGCAAAAGCGCAAAAGATGAAAAGAAACCAATAATGCATTTGATTGCTGAACCGAATCAAAAATTATTTTACAGCAACATACTGAAGTGCATAGGCTGCGGCTCCACTTGCCGTAAATTGTCGCGCTGCAAATTGTAGCGCGCTACACGCTACAGTTGGTGGCTCCACTAGCAGCAGAGTACGAACTACAATCTGCAGCGTCCTCAGATGCATCGTGGCTCCACTAGCAGTAAGTGTAGCGCGGAGGTAAACGTGGCCCTGGATCATGCCTCAAATTAACATTCGTAGTGTTGTTATCAGTGTACTTTATCAAGACGACGCCGATCACAGCAGGAAAATGGTGGATCCATCCAATATTAAGCAACGTTAAGTCCGAAGGGATGTTCCACACAGCATACTGAAAGTATTCAGACAAGTTTTTTTGAATATTATCGAATGTCCCAAAACTCGTTTGATTACTTAATAGAATCAGTATCAACACGTTTTCAGAAGGATACCAAACTAAGAGAAGCAATTGGAGTATAGGAAAGGTTTTCCCAGTGACATTAAGGTAATTTTAGTGTACTGAATTTTAACTAATTAATTTTATTCAACCTCAGAAGTAATATTTCTAAGTAACCAATGTAAGGTGAATATCAATATGAGTTTCGTGAGTTTTTTTATTATAGGGATAATTATAACAATTGTACGACTGTTGCACTTAAAAACAAATTGAATGTTTTCACGTATTTGTTTCTCCAATCATACTACTGTTTTACTTTATAATATAAAGTAGGAAACCCCTTACACAACCTCTATAAAACAAGATTCCCACACTCCCGATGTAATAATTTAATAAATTTCTAATATAAAAACTTCACAGTCCAGTTCAGGCTCCATTGATTACAAATCAATCCACAAAAATAAAAATAAAACTAAAGACACTAAAAAGTGTATTGTCCATGTATGCCTGTCGGCTGTACGTACACTGACTTGGCGCGGCACTACAATCTACAACTAGTGGAGCCACCTGTTGGCTGCAAAATGTAGCGCGAAAATGGTCCGAGTTCCATTCCCGCGCGACGCTACATTCTACGGCGCGCTGTAAAATGTAGCGCGCTGCAGACTGTCGCTAGTGGAGCCACCTTCGTTTGATCGCTGCATTCCCATTTCCTCAACTGACGAGCTACAATTTGCAGCGCGGCAATCTACGGCAAGTGGAGCCGCGGCCATACTCTCTCTTTTCTCAGGATTACCTAGTGAAACCACACGTGAAGACTCCAGAAAATTTATCCAGTACGAGTAACTATTCAGATCAAAAGTCATGGTTTCCAATTGCACCTTTTATGCCTATTCACATCCATTGTCACGTTTAAATCTCCAAAAGAATCATTTTACTCTATCTTTACACAGATTACATGCGAATCCCACTCGAGCAATCAGTCAAACCGCTCGTTCAAGTCTCCAATAGAATCTCAATGTCCAGCGATTCCCGTAGGTCTTCGGTGTCTGCAGGAGTCTGTAAGAGTGCACGAGCCGCTGCGGCTTGTTATATGTAAATGACACGAGCAGGACCGGGCCCAGGCGGTTATTCTATTAGGCGGCGGCGAGGCAAACCAGAAGGTGACTTACGGCACCATTAGCAGCCACATCTCACCTCGCCTCGCCTGCAACCGGCAACCGGCTCTGCAACTCCGGGCCATGGCGGATCTACAGATTAGAATGTGGAGGTTCTGCAAAACCGCATATTGGTTCTGTATACTGTATGTGTAGATTGACTAGTATATGAGCTCTAAAAATGTGCTCCAAAACTGTCAATCTCCTCTTTAGGAACACTGTAGAGTGGAAAAAACTTTAGCACAGCAGCTGTGGAGGGTTTAAGCCATGAAGATCGGAGACATTGAAACTAGTTTATATAAAGCTCTGAAGCAATTAAACATTTAACTTACCTAAAAGACTGATAAATAAATTTGTTCCTCTAATAATGTGGGTAATTGAAAATGTTTGTTGTTCTGAAGGTCTGAAACTTTGTACTACATTTCTCTGATTATCTGAAGCGTTGTGTATAGGGCCTATGTTTCTCTGAAGATGTGTATGATTGCAAATTCATTACATTGAAGATTTCAATTGCGATACATCTTTGGATACCATCGTTGCTTGACAATTTTAAAACTATGCACATATTTAGCTCCGAAGTTCAGTATGCTACAATTCTGCAGTTCTGTTGCAATAGGATTGTATGCAGTTCTACATCTCAGAAACATGCATAGCATCTTATCTCAAGCCCAATATTGCTTAGTCTATAAGTTATTATGAAGTTCCAATTTTCTAAACCGTTGATCCCTGAAAGTTTGCAAATTCGTGCAGCAAATAACCAAATTAGTCCATTTTAAGTCGGCAAAAATTTTTAAATTGACTACCTAATTTGTTGATCCTCGAATTGCAAATTAGCAGTTCAGGAACAACAATCAAATTATTGATATAATAGTTTACTAGTTTGCATTATAATAAATTCATGTTCCGTTTATAAATTCGTGAAGTAGGCCTAAGAAGTACTTCATGCGAGATAGGGTCGAATAAGGATTTCTGTTGCCTCATATCAATGTTGTATGGAACTTAACTTAAGTTGAATTCAATTAAACCTCAGCAAAATACGCTACTTTTGATTTAGGTTTAGAAATTAATACATCTATTGGCGTAATGAAGTTTTAAAATAAGAAAATACTTGAGAAATCTTGCAGTACAGTACAAGCGAAAAACGCAGAAAAGGATTCCTTCATAGTAATAAGCCACTGACACACACACGCACACTAACACACACGTGCGGCGACCGGCATAAATACTTGTTACAGGAACTCGCATAGCCGTTATTTATGAACACGTTCAATGGGACAAAATAAAGAGTGTAGTGAATCGGCTGCGATTATGAGGCTGTGAAATATTGTGATACGAATGACAGAAGGCGGTGCTTTGAGCTTTGTTCTCCGCCGCCGCCGCGCGCTATTCACCCGCTCAAAACACCTCTTTACCATAAAAACTCGGATGAAATAATTTCTTCGTACTAGTATTGCGTGTGTTACAGCCTTCCAAGTGTTCTTGACGTGTTTTGTTACGTTTTTACTGGAGTTTAAAGAGTTTTGCAAGGGCTATTGCCAACAATTCTTTTGTTTGATTTAAAAACCAAGTTTTTGTTTTAACTGCTGAACTTTCATGATACCATACTTAACTTGATCTCTCTTTAAGATTTTACAGTGTGAGTTATTTTCTTTGCAAATTTTTAAAATGTGTTTTACTTTTTGTGTGTTCTTGGATGGGACGTTTTTGGTGTTTTTTTTTTTTAAAGAACTGTTTTTATTTCCTTGCTCTAGGAAACCATTTAACTAATCTTTATGAATAAACTTTTTAAATTAGCTATTGTAACCCAATACAACCATCAAATACTTAATTTGAAGGTTCCAATAGTGCCTACAATTCTTTTTATTCCAAACGAACTATTATTCTATCAGTTCTGAAGAGCTTTCAGCTGTCACTAGGTCGTCAGCAGCTCACTTCAAAAGGTCGCCGCCTCATACAGACAGATCACACCACTTCAGCCATCATTGATATTTTTATATAAAAATGAATATAGTTTATTATTTCAATCTAAACTGTAGTAATGAACCTCATAGAAGATTAGGAATAGCGTGTACGAAAATGTGTTGAATATTGAGCAAAATGTTTCTAGAGATTTGCAGTTGAACCCTAATATTTTCTCTTTCATCAAAAATCTTTTCCCAAAACATCCTTGCATCATGAGTGGTCATAGCTCAAGTACCGATCAAAATCGTAACTACTAAAAGCGTTCACCACTGTTATAATTACTTACCCATGGAACTGTCAAATACAGATTTTTAATCAAACTCTACTTGTTTCAGAGGGTCAAGCGAGCCACCTGAACCTGTTCAACAGCCGCCAGCAGCCCAAGAAGAAGAGGAAGTCAAGGACGGCGTTCACCAACCACCAAATCTTCGAGCTGGAGAAGCGGTTCCTCTACCAGAAGTACCTATCTCCTGCGGACCGTGATGAGATCGCTGGCCAGCTGGGTCTGACCAATGCCCAGGTGATCACGTGGTTCCAGAACAGACGGGCGAAGCTGAAGAGGGACATGGAGGAGTTGAAGAAGGACGTAGAGAGCACCAAGGTACAACCAGAACCGTTACCTTGGTGATCGGCGCAGGTCAGGACTCAAGTCCTAGGCTCATGTACTTTCCATACTTTGAACTGGAACACATGAAAAGAGATAACTCTGCCTTGACCTTAGTGCTGAACAAATTTAGTATAGTTTAATTTTATTATTTCAAAAAAACTTTTTTATGATTTCCTACAAAAATAATCATTTATTGAAAATTTATCGAAAAAGTTAGTGCATTTAATTATTCTTTTCCTTTGTTACGAGGAAACATAAGCCAATAATTTTTGTTATTAAATCATAATATAGCCCATAAAACATTGAATGGCTCTTTTCAGAAAATATGTATTTTTATCATGCATAGTTGCACCTAAAACTGTTTTCCAGTTTTCTGTTTAGTTCAGAGTTTTTAAATGAACATGAGATATAGTTTTTATTGTTATGGAGAAATTAGTCACGATATAGATGACTCTAGAAGCTATGGATTGAGAACATGTGTTTCCTAAATTTAAAAAAAATGTGATTGTGACCATCAATATTGAAATTGAAGTAAAGAATAAAGGATGGAAAATTTAGTGAAGTTAATAGTGAATAAATATTTTTTGTCTTTAGTAAATACAGGTAACGCAAACTTTTGGTTCACTGCGGTAATATATTGCTTTTTGTCCCAATCAGGGATCTCGAGAACGTGCCCAACAATTGAAAACTGCTCTTGCTGTGTCGTATAGAGGGCCGTTATACGAATAATACACACCAAATCTCGTAAATATACAACTGTGAGTATAACAATATGCATCTTTAAACAAATCTGCACTAAACCCGGGATTTAAATATTTTTAACATCACGTATCAACTTATCTGTTAACAAACAATATGGGTTTGAGGGTTAAAATCATTTGATTTTCTAAAAGTCATTATATTGATGGTCACAAAAACATGTTACTAAACATTTTGATAAGTTTGCACATAATCACATTATTTGACAATTCAATCAAAATGGGGCGAAAATCAAGCATATGCTATTTGAATTCAGTCAATTGTGTGTCGGTTTAGATTAAAGCACACTGTCCTGTACTTATACCAAGTTAGTGTAAAATAAATGTTGGTATCATAGTGCCCGTCAGTATGTATGTCAAATTAAATCAAGTGAAGTTAAATCTGCAGAAAACATCACAAATGTAAATGGCAATTTTATGATTTTGAAACATTTTTTATTACTAATGTGTAGACATCTATTTCAGATACCATAAGATAAAATCCGAGAAATATGTATTTTTAAATTAAAATCGGTCATAATTTCCTCTTCGTATTCTTTGACTAATTCTAACTATTCTTTCAAAATGTTCTTCACTTGTCTAGTACGAATTTGCATGAGTTACATAAGTTGTATGCTTCCAGGTCTTGAGCGCTCACAAATCATTCCTGGAGAACGTGCAAAACCTCGGAATCCTCAAGAAGAAGTCGGTGGCGGGACACGAGGCAGACGACAAACCTCTGAATGTCGTCATGGAGAAGTAAGAAGTCACTAGACAAACGTAGAGTTCTGCATCGTCAAGAGGACAGCGGAAACCATCGAAAAGACTACAACTTCTCAATGATCACGGAGAATTCAGTTGAAGACAATTGTGAAACTCATAGACCATCTCCGTCGCTAAGAAGAAGTCAGCGAAAACCCCCAAAGAAGATCATCATCTCTCGTCTCCATGATAACACGTGGAATTTAGACGAAGTCATTTGTGAAACTTATATACCGTACCCATCACCTTCCATTGGTCAGAGAAAGAGAAATATAGATACGGCAGTGGACATGAGTCTACTAATAATGAATAGATTTCTAGTATCTTCAAGAAGAGAGCAGTGCCACGCTTCGCTGTAAGCCCAAAGTAGTGAGGACGATCTTTTCAATTTCATGGAAAAGGTTTTGACTAAGGAGCTCATTGAATAACAGAATATTAGCGGAGAAATGAATTTTAGGCCAGAGGAAATTAGAAAAAATCTAAATGCTGTGCAGAAGAAAAATTCCTAAAGAATAATGAGATTTTCACAATTTTCTATATGATGTTTATACAGAAAAAATAAATGACATCCCTAAATATTGTGGGCTAGTCAACGAGAATCGTTTATTTTATCCGACAACAAGTACAATCACAATTATATGATTTAAGGTGGTACAATTATACCCTTTTTCTAAATTGGTACTTAATTATTTAGATTCATTTGACTGTATTTTTTTAGTTGTTTGTAGATCTGCTTATGTTTGTTATCAGTTTTAATCTAATTTTGTCCTTGTTATTTATTATATTAAAATCACTTCTTTTATCACTAGTTTTCACTGTGATATCAGTGACGAAATGTATAGAAAGGGTTTACCTAACTGCCGTGAGCATTAAAGACATTGTAAAAAGATTTATCAAGTTCCTGTTCCCCGTGCAGTTTTACATGTGCATGCTGTATTTATGTATATAAACGTTTTATTTATATTTGTTGCTTATGAAATCACTGTTAAACATGTAAATTGTATGATTATTGTAAATAACATGTCCATACCTACATTATTTTTTTACTTTATGCTTTGACTTATATTGTGAACAAAGTTCAGAGGAGAGTTACTGTATAGGTTTAAATGTTTTTTTACTGCCACAATTGATGGGTTTTTGTGATACTGTATTTTGATTGTATTCTTGTACTTCAGGTGTGTGAGTGCTGAAATTAAAATAAACTCAAAAATGAAAGGTTAAATTCAAGTTTTATTACTAAAATGTTATTACTTAAATATTTTGTATTAATAGATTTTATCTGACAAACATAATAAGCAGATTAAATACAATTTTCATGTCATATATTTTCGACGCATTAACCCTTGTAAATATAGAAACTGCCACGTGTAAAGTAAATGTTAAATTTAGGTATTGTATGTGTATCAGTATTATTTATAAACCTGTGCAATCCGTGTATATTGTTGTACATAAAATTATAAATGTAATATATTTATTACTTATTTGCGTTTGGGCAAAACCTAATTTGATTAGCAAAACCATCTGGGGCCCTGCGACAAAGAACAATTGATTTTATTATTCTATTATATGGTAGTTCTTATTACTTTGAAAAATATGTCTAGAAACATATTTTGATAGTATAAAAAAACTTTTGGAAAAAGAAATTATTCAAAATTTTATTTTAGTATATAGCTTTATAGTATATTTATTGCAAAATAAAACTTAACAATAAAACAAACTATTACAAATTATTTATAAGTTCCTTAACCGTAACTGTTAATAATTTATTTTGTGGCTATTTAAAGGTTTTTTAATTTATCGAAGCCCAGATGGTGATCCTTCTAGAAACCTAGTGCAATAGCGTAAATGTATTCATGTAAATAGGTCGGCAATAAATTCTTTATTAGAAAATGATGTCGTTCTATTTCCCAAAACCATGGATTCCCCAATATCATGGATTAATGTTTAAATTAGTTAGCGATCGATTAAATGTGTTTCTATAATTCACGAAGACTAGAACAGACCCAGTATGGATCATAAACAAATTACGTTACTGGCCCGAAAATTTACATTATTTAAAATTGCTTAAATGGAACAGCCTAAATCACATGTTAATGTTATTAGTATAGGATTCGGGCCAGTTACGTCATTTGTTTATGTTCATGATCCATACTGGCTTCTTTTCTTATATTCGTGCTATAAATTAATACTGGGCATGCTTAAAAAAAAATTATCCTTCAATATTCCAAATCTCTATTAAAAGAAACTAAGACAGAGAATATGTTTTCGAACATATTTGACAAAATATACCGTGAAGAAAGCTAAATAAACTAAACAAAGGCATTGCTACCCTGTATGATGAAGGTACTACAATACAGTATTTTTTTTAAATACTCCTTGTTTGTTTGCATAATAAAGCATTTTTTATTATTTCGCATTCAGCACTGAATAAAACTAATGGTAAAATAAAAATACAATCAACAATTGGTAGCAGACTTTAATAAATTGGTAGAAATAATTACTTTAGAATAAAAACAGTTAACCAACCATGGAAAGAGAAAACTACAAAATAAAACTAACTCTCTTACCGGTTAAGACTTTAAATACATATTTTACCCTCAAGTAGGTACCTCTACAGCAGTTTTATTTGATGAATTTTTACTATTACTTCACAATTTTTAACGAATACTTTTCTTTTAGATATTAACCTCAAGTCACATCCTAGTATTTTTAACAAACTCCTACATGAGAGATTTTTCCATTTTAATTCATTATTGGATTATACTATGCTATTCTAGTGGACCTTCACTCATTCTATGGTAAAGTAGTTGTTGAATTTAATACCCTGGTAAACAAATAAAAGAACATGTTATTTTTAGTTTAACGATTGTATTTACTCAATATCAACAAGTTATGTCAAATAATAATTTAAATCTAATAAAATCCAATCAAATCCTTTATTGTGCACAGACAATCTGTATATAGCGTTAGAAGGTTTATAAAACAGAAGAAAAACAAATAAAACTAAACTGTAAAAAATACTAAAACGGAACAGTATGTCTTAGTTTGTTCGGCAACTCAAACACTCTTTGATAGAGTATGGAATTCGGATGATTTATTATCCGAATACATCATTTTATTTTCAAGTAAAAACAATATTAATTGAAATATGATTGTGGATTGGATTAAATACTTTGTGTAGCACTGTTACTGACATAAATCAGCTGTTTAGTTAGCTGATGATTAAGAACAGCTGATTCCAGTTTCCAAACTTAATGCAAACTTAATAACTAAAATGCTTTTGATTTTTTTCTTAGGGTTAAACTAGGAACCATAATATGATATTCAGACGAGCTCTATGACCACTCAGCGTGCCAGCTATATGATAGGAAGGAGTATACAAAACCACCTTTATTATTTTGCATCTATGTAGTATTCCCACACACATAAAAAAGTATAGTATCACATAAACAAATTTTAAAAATAGATTTTTTCGCATTTTTACAAATTAAATTTGTATAGATCCCACATAAAAAAAATTGGTTGCCCTGTAATGAGTTTAACATGAAATATCGTGAGATCATAAAAATATATAGAGCGGAATATTAAATTATAAATATGTTGTATAAACCAACTATTCCTAGCGCCCTACACTACTTTTGATCATGACTATCCAAACATCCAGAATCGCTTTTAAACTCACCAATCCTACTAGGACCAACCGTTAAATAAACCGGATATGACCAAAGACAGACGCAACTCAAAATCTGGATCAAAGAAGACTTCGTGGAAGCGCAAAAATGACAGAAACACAAACTCCAGGTTTGATATCAAAGGCCATCTAGCGCTTGGAGGTAGGATAATAAACATGCCACGAGCACGACACATACAACTCTTTGAGGTCTTACAGTACAGTGTACGTCTGAATTGAGTAGTAGTATATATATATATATATATATATATATATATATATATATATTATATAGATACTCCCTGGTGTCGATTAACGTCCGCACTAGTGAGTTCTACGACTGTCTGCAGTACTATCAAGATAATTAGGCCAATTCGTTAATACCAAGGCAGAAATGTGGTTCGGATTCTACTGTAGGTCCCTTAGTTGCCATTAGCTGTATGGGCTATTAATTAATAGCTGTGTCTATGGAATATGTCGGCCTTAGTCACTCTCATCTGTATTCATACTTGGCTTAAAATACCTATTTTGTATGGTCGCCATTTCATTGAAATGTATTAAAGTATAAGTTATGTTATTTAAATGGCATGTTAACAAGACCATTGTTAGGACTGTTCCAAGAATTACTTTGAAAGTAGAAAAAATTTAATTGTGTTGAAAACACATAAATCAACTTTGGTTAAAAATATTATATAGAATATACCTTCCCATGGCTTTTCAAAAGATGTGATAGCCAACAAACAAACGTTTGATTTCTGATCGCTTCCGAAAGTATACATGGTATTTAATTTATTAAGTAAAGGAGAGAATATTGTATACAAACAAATTGTCTATAACCAACTAATATCTTTTGCTTTTAATATTTTTGAAGTAACCATTGTCCATACAATTGCGTGTTATTTTTACACCTAATTGCGGATGTGGTTATTAGAATTGCGTGTTAATATATGTGTGTATGTGTGTTTTGTTAGAATTTTGGTATAATACAAAAGTATTTACTTTTTTAGAATAGTTTATTGTTGATTCTTCTCGTTCTCGCCGCATATACATGATAAAGGTTGTTGACAAACTTATGGGAGAAAGTATGTGTCAGAATACTGATACCGTTTATTTACAATGGTACAATACTTTTGGATTAAACTAGAGGTCGTCCAGTGGTAGAAAACTCGACCAAAATATGTAACGTACAGACTTCTCTATCTCCACAGCCTGACTTATATCAGAAACTAGTCGAAGTTATGTAAAAATAAAAATATTGGGAGCTTATTCCTTCAACCTTAATCCTTTACACATTTCAGCGAAGTATAAATTGGATGTATCTAGTGTGAGGACAAATTTATGAGCTTGTAAATAAGGCTCCATTTTACATCTAATAACATCGCATAACGCTGAAGGTTATTTCTGGAAATTACGTAATTGTAAATGGACTGTGATGAAATTTTGTTGTTTGTTGAATGAGTGTACTGAATGAGTTTGTCCAAAACTTGCAACACCTGCAAGTTGTTGCTTCTTTGCAAGTGAATATAATTGCTAATTAACATTTGTAGTTAATTCAGTCAGAGCTTTGAGTACCTTAAATTTTTAGTCATATACATTTAACATTTAAAGTTATCCTAAAGA